TCTCAGAGGCCCGGAAAATAATGGAAGCTTACTGAATCTTATTTCATTCCCATCCACCCTATCCTTATCAGAATGGCAGTATATTTTTATTTTGCCTTATTGCTCATTAGGACAAAAAAGTGGTTTTTGTTTAACTATTTTACCCAAATAAACCATGCTGGTTTCATAATACATAAAATCCTGATAAAGTGTGCTTATCAGTGAGAGCATGAGGGAGTCTTAACTGGAGATTTCTCTTACTCCGGGGCTGTATTATTTGCTACCTGTTCTCCAGGACAGCAAATGCCAAGTGCCACAATAGAACTAACAACAATGGCAGAAAACAACAACAACATATAATTTGTATTTGCTCCCAGGTGGAGGTGGAAGCCACATCAATTTCTGAAGTGCAAGAAAATGTAGAAGGAGACTCAGGAGACTCATAGACAGCTTTATCTCTGCCACCAGATAACTGTGACATCCAAAAGGATATTGAGTCACAGAATTTTCAGATCTTTTGTGAGTTTCCCCTATGTCTCTGACCATGAGCAAGTTGCTGATGTTGCAAACTAAAATTATAAAACCTCCAAATTATGTACAGTTTTGCAAAGTTTTGAAAACTGTCTCACATCTAGGACCATTAGCTAGTCTCTGTTTACATTCACAGTGTAGTGTGCCATTGATCTCCAATAAGAAGCGTTGCCATCCTTTAATGCAAAGTATAGCTTAGTTATTCCTTGCGTACTGCCTGAAAGCCATGTGACCCAACAAAATTGCCAAACCATCATCATGAGCTGCTTTGTTCTTTCTATGAAAATATGTTGGGAGCTCCAAAGAAGGTATACCCAGGCAAAGAGGAAACTGGTGGTGTCAGATAAAAAGATAATGGCCCAAAATGATGATGAGTATGATCCTCAGAGGATTGAAGGAGTTAGGGGCTGCCAAAATGTCAAGGCTGTAGAGACTGATACCACAGTAGCTGGAATGATCTGGAGAAAAAGTGAACTTAGTCTGTAAAATTTCTGATATAATACTATTTGTTGCTTATTCATTTTTTTCAACATATCCTCACTAAACAACTCCTATATTATCTAGCAAGTATTTATGGACTATGTACTAGGTGCAAGGTATGCTGTAGAGTACTAAAAATTTGGAAGTAAAATCTCCTGATTCTTGAAGCTTGTATTCTAATGGGGTAAAAAAAAAAAAAAAAAAAAAAAACAGATAATTTGTGTAGGACTGTAAAGAAACAAATGACTAAAATACTTATTGTTGTCAAGGACTTATAGTCGGGAAATAATGTAGGATGTTTTATTGTTGTTAGTTTAAAGTATCTTCATTTCTTGTTGGAAAACTTTCATTAAAGAATAAATGACCTTAAGTGATTTATTAAGTGTGGCATAATATATTCAGAAGTTATGTTTCTTATTTCTTCCTAACAAGAAATATATCCCATTTTATAATGAGAATTAAGAACTAAGAATCACATGCTGTAAATAGTTTCTTCCATAAATCGTATTTTAAAATATGATTAAAATAGTTTATCATAAATCATATTTTTTTTGAATAGCCAGTCTCATTGATGTGGTGATTCAGGCCTAGATTTACATTCATCTGGAACTTCCTGGAGAACACCTTGATAAGGAGATGAGAAAACTATGACACTCTAGATAAATTGGTGAAGCTGAATTTCTGAAATCCTCTCTCTCTCCTCATCCTTGTACTGCAGCAGCAGAAGCAGCAGCAGCAGCAACAATATAATGAAACTATGGCGTGATTTTCCTTAATTAGCACAACAATTTGCTTCACATTTTCAAAAAGTACTAATAGATGTTAACTCAAAATAGATTAAAATACCAGACAAATTGCTACTACCTTAAGAAAAGTTATAACAATTTTGAAAACGTAAATTATGGTTATACAGTCTTTGGAGGGAACTGTAAAACCCAACCTTTCTTGTATTTTTGAAAAACCTGTGGCATATGCTTTTCTCCTTTTTAATCACAATAATTTCTTGAAATGACACTGCCGTGTATTTCCTTAGAAAGATGCACTGCAGTTTTCAATTTTCATGTGTAATACAAGAGTTGCCTTTGATAGGTTTAAGCAAGAAATTAAATACAAAATCCAGGGATTGTGGAAAAATGTTTTTAAACGTCTTTATCTTTCTGTTTCTTTTTTATGTTACATGTATTTTGAGTTGGAACAGAGAGTAGTTCTTCTCATTCTAGCAACTAGAGTTGAGCATGACAAAATGTCTGTAGAAATGTATATGTAGGCGTAACTGTTTTAAATGAATTGGACTCTCCTGGTATCTTACCCTGAACTCCTTAGCACCAAAGCAGTTAAGGAGTCTCTACAAAGAGAAAGCAAGCATAATTTTACTTAGGAATAAGTGAATATAATTTTTATATTAAATTCATCATACCATGTCACCAGGAAAGATTATAAGTAAAAGAACCTTCCCTAGTGGGTGTATGTTATTTCTGCTGAATAACTTATACCTAACCAAGCTCTAAAAAAGAATGTATGCACTTTCCTCCTTGCTTTGATTTCTAGAATTTACACAGCATGGCTCACAAAAGTGTTGCTTACACTTTTTCATACAGCTGCACAAAACCAACTTATTGTCTCTTCTTATAACTTCTGAAAACCAGAAAATTAACATAGTGCCATCTTTATTCTCAACCACAAGTGTATCTTACTTTATGTAACGGGCATAGACAACATGAATTTTGGTGAATCAAAGGATATGTAAGGTACATTAGACGAGCTGACAGAATACATTAACTCTATACCATGAAAATCTTTACTAAAGTGAAAAATTATCCTCTAATATATAGACTTCATAAATTTCTGTCTTTGTATATCAAGTTTGCTTTAGGTGAACTTGTATGCCCCTTCTGGAAAATAGTCATCACTTAGAGATACATTCTATTTTTAAAATTTGCCTCTCCAAAACAAATTGCCTGTGGCCCTAAGTATAAAACTGTATAGACCCATGTGTAGCATGGAAAAGATGTAACATAGAAAATAGCCCCTCTCTTGATAGTGAATGTAAATGCCTTCTCTTTTCCATTCTGTTTGTTTGTTTGTTTTTGTTTGTCTTTTTGAGACAGGATTTCACTATGTAGTTCAGGTTGGCCTTGAACTCACTTTATAACCCATGCCAGCCTCAAACTCAAAGTGATCCTCCTGCATGTGCCTCCATGCCCAGCTATCTTATCCATTCTTTTCCTGGTACTTTTAGTTAGCATCCCTTGAATGTGAGGTGACTTAGACTGCACACATACTTCCTTTGCAGTCCCCAACAAACATTCCAAAGGTTCTCTGACCAAATGACTTGCTCTCATTTGGTGAATTGTGCATTTTTCTGGATGTGTTTGTGGCAGGAGGAGGAAAGATGACCTAACAACAATGTGAGGAACATCATTTTAAAGGAAAGGGAGAATTTGCTGACACTGAATATTTTCAATCTGGACTGTGCTATTAAGAAAAGTTCTGGCATCTCTTCTAGAGAAACACTAAGATAGAATACATTCTTGAATATGAAATATGTTCTACAGATGACTTCTCACTTTGTGATTATTTCGTTTTGAACATTACAACCAATGTTACCAAGGTTTTTTTCTGAGATACCTCAAATGTACAATATTCATCAGCATTATAAAGCCTAAGTATCATTAATTAACGCATTCATAACAAATTTGTTTGCTATAACAATAAGAGCCACCATCTAGGAAGCTTCTTATCATTTCCAGTGCTAGACATGTTTTTACATTTGATCCTTACAACAGTCCTGTGAGATAAGTACTTTTATCCTGGTTTTATAGTTGAAATAAAATCTTAAATAAGTGAAAGCAGGTTTCAAATAAGCAAGTTTTAAATAGCGAAATGTCCTACAGAGATTAAGTATCATCAGGATAATGTTGTCAATACTAAAAAAAATTAATTTGGGCCATATTTTTCCAACTCACCTAGAAGGCCCCATGTCATTTCAGAAACATGTAGACAACTAAGTTCATGATCATCATGCTGTTGAGCAGGCTTTCAGAGCAAACAGCCAGGGCTTCATGTTGCTTTAGACTGGTAGCCTCAGTTTTTTTCAATAATGAACCTCAGAAGGGACGCTTGAAAATATGCGTTCCAAGTATCTTCCTTAAGACTTTCTCAGTATAGCTTACTCAGTATAAATGAAATATTGATGTATTCAGAAATGCCCGTGTTCAATAAAGATTTTAAATAAACCTACCTAAAAGTTGTGGTTCTTAGGTTAATCATTTATTTATCTAAAGGATGAAGGAAGCTGTCTACTTCTGTGATATGAACTGCAATCAGCTTAAAAATAATTGACAAATTAATCCCTTCACAGCTCAGCAATTGTAAAGGTGTTAGTTTTAATTAGGCCTGTCTGATTGCCTTGTCTAATCAAGAATCAAGATGGTGTCTTTGATGGTTAAGGTCTATTGGGGCCATCCCTGACCTGCCAGCCATGTATGTTTTAATTATTGATTCCTCACATTTCAGACCTGTTCACTAAGGGACTTGAAGTTTGCAATACCTTAACATTTAAAGGGAAGAAAAATAAACATTTTTCCTAGCACTTCTATCTAGAATCCTGTGTATCCTTTCCCCTACTGTACAGATTTCTGCTAAAAAGACAATCATGTTGATGAAGGATTAAAATCCATATTAGGCTGTATCCTTACTGTTTCCTCATCTCAAGCACTAGAAGTTCAGTGGACATGGTTAATACCTTGACAAATCACAGTCATTTATGTTTCTAAAAAACACATTTGATTTCTTGACATCATGTCCTTTTAAAAAGTCCATATAAACAAATGTGATACTGAGAAATCAGAGTTGTCAGACAAAAGGGAAACGAATCTTCTTACAAAACACTACCTCAGGTTGCTAAGCAGAAGCACATTGGGCTGCAGCTGTCATGGTTGCAGGCTGCAGCACACTGCGTGGTACTGGTGGTCGCCTGTGCGTGATGGTGGTTTTTTCTCTGGTTGCAGGTGAATGAAGTCACAGTTGAACAGCTGGTGCAGCAGTACCCCCACATTACCTTCAGCACTGTCCTGCAGGACTGCAAGAGGACCTTGGAGAGAGCTTATCAGATGGGCTGGACCCCCAACATGTCGGCTGCCTCCTCCTAATGTGCATGCCCATATATGGGTTCACTTTGGTCGTTCAGCAGGGGCAGAGAAGTGTAGATTTGAAATGGGTGATCTCTTGGAAAGGTTTTAACTATCACCTGTCTGTGTCTGTACCAGTGTGTATATTTGTGTCTTGTTTGCCTACTGCATAGCATAAGTGCACTTGTTATTTGTTCCCAGGTGAGCTGGCTTTTTTTCTTAAAAATTGAAGATTACAGAAGCCACAAATCTTAGTTTTTAAGTGTAAAGGCTTAGTTCTTTAAACAGTATTTTTAATAGAAAGTCAAGGAATTGGATTATTACTTTGAGCATCTGATTTCTGCCATTTTTTAAATGCCCCCCAAAAAAAGAAGTATTTCTTTTTTGATGAATGGGGATTGTGCACTTCTACAAGTCAGACTAGAAGGGATGGTTTATTAATTGGAAGCCTGTGAATTAGTGATCTTCAAAATTCCAAGCACATGTGCACGTATATTTATACTCTTGTGTACCTACCCTGCAGGTACACAGACACATTAGGGTGGTTTCTTTGTAAACCACTTCCTGACAGTGGAGACTTCCTCCAGGCTACTGAGGGAACACATCATCTGCTCTGGCCCCACCTAACTCAGTGTGTCCATGATGGGCAGCTGTCTATCTGGTGGGTGATTTAGGGACTAGAAAGAATAAAGCCTTTTGTAAATTTTTTATATTGATGAAACAATCTGAACTCCCTTGGCCAGCTCACAGAAGTTAATTACTCTACACATACATTCTGTTGAGTACTAAATATTTTAGTTAGTTTTACATTAACATTGTGTTAGCTTTTATTTTGTGGATAGCGAGTGATTGGAATATATCTTAATGATATTTGGAGCTAATCTGAGCATTATCCACAATGAAGCCACCAATGTGATTAATGGTGTGTAGTATTTTAATAGATCTACAGATCATTTCATTATTTTGTTAATTTTGATAATTATGAAAGTATGTTTCTGATATTTAATAGACTGCTCATGAGTGAAATATAAGAAAACAATGTTTCTATTGAAATTTTTTCTTTTGCTTTGCTTTAGGTTTTAGAACAGGTTTTTTGATATGTGCATGTTAACTTTTTTTTTTAATAGTTTCTATGCTACTGCAAAGATCTATTGCTAGCTACTGTATGAGTTAAAAAGAAAAATTAGAAAATCTGTTCATTAAGATTCTGTTTACACTTGCCAGAAGTATTTTTTAGTTGAAGATTGCCAGCTTTCAGTTAAGACAGTATCTATCAGTAAATGAATATACATTTGATTTCACACATCTTTACAATTAATTCATTGTAGGGACTCAGGCTCCAATAAACTTTCCTGTGTCTGGATTTATAATCAAGACTACAGGGAGCCTTTTTAAGCTAAAGAGTGATTATCTTTCATAGTAGAAATAAAAATAAAGCCCTAATTTGTGAATTTGTTATTTATTCCTTCCTGATATGGACATGTTATTTTGTCTTTAACAGAAATAACTGAGGTTTGAGTTCATTTCTTATATATCTGAATATTGTTAAAATGTAAGAAACAAAAGATAGCCTTACATATAAGTGTCATTCATGTATTTGTACTGACTTCTTTTTGGTAAACAGCTGTTTCTTTTGATTATGTCAACATATTTCTGATGTGGCAATTTTTGTTTTAGTTCCAATCACTTCAGAAAATGTAGTCAGTAAACACTAAGAATATTTTCCCACGGCTAAATAGATTACTAATTTAATTTGAAGGGAGTAAAATTTGTGTAACAAAAGACTTTATCATTAATAAACTATATTTCTTCTTACACAGTGAACTATGTCATTTTCATACCCATTTCTCCACCACTGAAAAATCTTACTTCACAACATTTAAATTGAATTTTAACCCAAAACTAATTTATAAGACCGTATGTATAGTAATAGTAGCTTCAGTGAATAAAAAATGTTTAATTTTATATATGTCACACTATATTTTAAATAATTTTAAAAGGGACAAAAGGGAAAACAATCTATGGCATAGATGGTATAACTTCAGTTCAAAGTTGTAATAATCTTTGGAACATTACAGTTGGGTTGTCAAATGGTTTCACAGCATATAATTGATTTTTAAAATGTCTCATTGTTTTAAAGTACAGCACTAAAACATGCTTTAGCTTGGGGTGGGGTGGGGTGGGGTGGGGACTGCACTTATTCTCTAAAATGTCAGCTAATTCAGAAAGCCTGATGCAACATAACCTGGAAAACTGCTTTGGTACATTTGTAGAAATCTGCAGAAATATCGTATCTAGCCTCAAAGCATTAATCTCAAAAAACAGCCAGGAAAAGCATCACCCTGAGTGATTCTGTGATGGTTGTTGAATGTGTTCTCATTAGATGCTTTAAAATGAGGCTTGAAATAATTTTCTAGGCAATATAATTTTTTGGTTTTGTTTTCTGTTTGCTTAGAATGTCATAAATACATGTGAACATGTTTAAAGCAGGGCTTTTTATCCTCTCCAAAATGTCAACAGTATTTTCAGAATAAAACCTATGAAATACATTGCTGTAGTGGAAAACTCGTTCTTTGTCTTTAATGTCTTTTTGAGTGGATAAAGAAAATCACCCAGTTTGTAGTTTCTATATTTCTGTGAATCTTTTGACCTTGCAATGGGTTGCAATAAAAGAGAAACAAAACACTGTATCTTTTGTTTTATTTTAGAAACAATAAATGGCCTCTCCATTACTGAGTATGACGCATTCAGTAGTCTGTGTCCTTGTGTGTTTTACTACAAATTTATTATACAGGTTTGACTAACAGATTAATAAACAAGATTAGATTTAGGAGGTATTAATTGGTACAATGATTACTGAGAAAAGATTAAAATCTCAAGAGTTTCAACAAGTGAATTGTTTAAAATTCTATCCTCTTAAATAGTCCCTCATTTGCTTAGCCACTAACTCAGTTTTTCAAAAGCAAATAAATAAATAAAACATGTATCAAATAGCAAATGTGTCAGGCACTGTGGAGTTGAAGATAAATGAAACTCATTCCTGGCCTTGGCTGGCTCATAGCCTACGGAGGAGACGCTCTGGGAAACAGCAGTGAATGGGGCGTGGCCATGGAATGATGTGTATGATACTGGGCAGCATATGGAGACTGAGATTTCAGTGCAGGCCGAAGAAGCAGAGCTTCACCAGACTTCTACTGGGAAGGAAGGAGGGAAATGTGGGAATAAGACAGCAAGGCAGGTTCAGATGGGGAGGGGGTGGGAGAAGACCCTAGTCCCTAGGGAGAACAGAAATAAATCATAATGTTTTGTGGGCTTGTAGGAAAGATCAGATATGCTAGGAAATTCCATAAATTCTTTCAACAAGTTAGAATTTAAATGCAGGACTTGTTTCTGATAATACTGTGGAATACAAATCGTGGAATATTTCTCTGCTATTTCATATCTAAAAATGTGCAATAAAATATATTTAATCCATGTTAAATGATTGGATGTGACAGTGAGAAACCTCTGGTGGCCAGGAACAGTGGGAGCAGCAGTCTGGAAAGAGGTCAGCAAACTGCCTGGACCAAATACAGCTGGTGGCTATTTTTATTGTTTCACTGGAGCACAGTCATGCCATTTGGTTATAATCTCTGTGGCTGCTTTCATTCTACAAAGAGCAGAGCAAAGTGGCTACCACAAAGAATATTTACTAACTGGCCCTTTATAGAGTAAATTTTCCAAACCTACTTTGAAGAAGTTATTTGCAAAATGTGAACTCAATGACAATCACATCAGCATCACCTAAGAACTTGTTAGAAATACAAATTCCTGGGTCTCACCCAAGACTACTAAATCAGAAAAAGTGTAAGATTCACCAATTCCTGTCTTAATAGGTCTTTCAAGTGAATTTGGTACAGAAGCTAAACTTTTATATCTTTAAAGAAATAGCTGTAGAAGCACCTAGAATATGGTAGATTGATTATATATATATATATATATATATATATATATATATATATATATATGTCAGTAACTAAGATAAGGATCTGTCTCATGTAAAGCAAGGATCCCTACAAGACTATACTTTTTATAAGACAGTAAACCAAAAATTTGAAGAACAGAAAATCACCATTCTCAGCCTTAGCTATTGGGTTTTTTTAAAAGACTTGCAAATTAATAGTCACTGGGTATATTCACATGAATACAGTAAGTTAATCTATACTATTTGCATAGTGTTTCTGATAATTGTATTTTTAAGAGGATTCATATCAATAGTGCTTCATGCCCAACAAGAACAAACAAAAATCATCCATAGAGAATGATAGCCAAAATCCAGGCTTCAAAGGAAATCCCATAGAGTGGCAGCAAATACAACTTCACAATCTAAAACCACAGAAAACACTCCAAAAAATCCAGCATTAGTATATAAATGAGTAGAAACTAACATACACACATCTTCAAAGACTTTAATAATTTTTCAGATACATAAATTGAAATGCTTGATATAAAGTTATAAGAAAGAAACTAGCAAAAACTGAACAGATGTTTTAAAGAACTAAGTAGAATTTTTAGAAATGAAAGATACAATAAAATGAACCATAAAATGGGAAGCTTGAGTAACGAGATGGAAGAAGAATAACAGAAATCTAGGTAGAAGTGAAGTGAAAAAGAGCAAGGGTTTTTCCTTTCTAAATAGATAATTTCCATGCGGATGACAAGTTGAGAAATGGCATGAGGCTTTCAGACATCTATCTTTGTGGAAGGAAGATTACAGTAGAGGAAGGCAGTATTTAAAGAGATGGACTTACCATTTGTAAAGAGGACAAGATTTAAAGGAGAGTATTAAAAGCATAGCTTTGGGTGGTTAATTTTGAGATGTCCACTAGACTTCCAAGTAGTATGTTGAGTGGTGTGTTTGGATATAGGAATTAAGTCCAGAGGAGATAGATATAAATTGATAGCATTCAAGTCTTGAACCGTTCTAAAATCACTACCCTTGATCATCATCCATTAGTTTGAATAAAAAGAGAAGATGTATAAGCAGAGTGTCTTTGGGTACTCCAAAATGAGGAAGTCAGGGAATTAAAGAATCCAAAAAGGACTAATGTGAGTTGTATGAGGAAAGCCACGTGTATTTCTAAAATCAAGTAAAGAAAATCTTTCAAGGAGGTAAGGGTAATCAAATCATGTGTTACCATTAAGTGAGATGAGTGTTAGAATTGACCATAGAATTTAGCAACATGGACACTATTGGCATCTTTGATAAGAGCAATTTTAATTGTGTGATGCATGGAAAAGCTTTACTGAAATTGGTACAAATTATATGAGGCAAGCCTAACTTTAATATCAAAACCACACAGTAATAGTGTCAATGAAATCTCTAAGTCAGTCTCACTCGTGGATATAATGCAAAAGCCTAAACAAGGAATTAGCCAACATAATGTCCTAGTTAGATTTAGTCTATCTTAGTCTAGTCCGGCTACTATAATAAACAATAGAAATTTCATTCTTTCCAGCTGTTTGGAAATCCAAGATCAAGGGCCTGGCAGTCTTGGTGTCTAGAGAAGACTTTTCATTCAGATTGCATCTGATCACTGTGACTTCACATGTCAGAAGGTAAAAAGGAAACAAAACCCTAGGAGTTCCCTTTTATAAAGCACTCATTCCAGCTGTGAAGGAAGATCTCTCATCACATAATCACCTTCTCATAGTCTGGTACTGGAGAATAATTTACAGCTGAATTTTAGAAGGACCTAAGAATTCAAACTACAGAACAAAACACATTGACAGAATAAAGTGAAAACATGGTATGCACGATTTTCTCAACAGAGACAAAGCATGCAAGAAAATTCATATTCACTCCTGATAAAGAATCTTAGCAACTAAGACAAGAAAGGAATATCTTTGATCTGACATGGGTGTCTTCATCAAAAACCTAGAAACCTGTTTATCACTCCACATTGAAATATAAGAAATACTTTCTCTGGATCCCAAAGAAGAATGTTTACTGTTATTACTACTACTTCTATTTAACTTAGTAATTGGAGAGCTAAGCCAGCATAGGAGTCTTCCAGAATGAAAGAAATTAACTGAATCACATACAGCTGACAGAAGTGTTTACTGACACAAACCCCCAAATCTACAAATGAGAATTAACAAGAGTTTGAAATATAATGTCAAAATACAACACTCATTTACATTTCTATACCCCAATGATGTAGAAAATGTAATTTCAAAAACTATCGTTTGCAAAAGCAACAAATATACAAAGCAGTATGGCTCATGTATAAATTATAAAACTATCAAAACACACAAAAAAACATAAAGTTACCATTACCATATTTACAGGCAGGAAGACTTAGATATTACATGGGGAGATAACTCTCCACTTACCTTTTGCATTTCTGTACATTTTCAAGTAGAAGTACTCACTACCAGTGCTCTGGGTATATTTTTAAGGGTATTTTATGATGAAAAACCTTCACAATGGTGTTTCTCTCTGGAACAAGCAGCGTATGTACTTACAATCATGTATAAAATAGTCACATTTTCAAAGCATTCCTATTCTGTTTCACAAGCCTTCACAAGCTTTTCTTTCTTTCTTTCTTTCTTTCTTTCTTTCTTTCTTTCTTTCTTTCTTTCTTTCTTTCTTTTCTTCTTCTTCTTCCTCTTCTTCTTCTTCTTCTTCTCCTTCCCCTTCCCCTTCCCCCTCTCCTGCTCCTGCTCCTTCTTCTTCTCCTGCTCCTCCTCCTCCTCCTCCTTCTCCTCCTCCTCCTCCTCCTCCTCCTCCTCCTCCTCCTCCTTCTTCTTCTTCTTCTTCTTTTTTGTAGGATTTGGTTTGGAATCTGCATATGAGAATGCTGATGCCCTGGTGACTGCCTTTGCCACGAGAGGTAAAGTCTTTTTTCTCTGACCAGGAGTCTTGTGTCTTCCATTAGCATCACTGAAAGTTACAAACTATCTCAGACCTTGCCTGGTTCTTAATACAGTTCTCCATAACTGATCTATTACTGTCATGTAATTTCAAACAGGATCCTAGCAGGATTTTTAAAATTCATATTTAACAAGCTTATCCTTAAATGAATATAGAAAGTTAAAAACAATCAAATCACACTTAAAAAACCAGGCCATAGAATTTGCCGTACAGACATTATGAAATTATATTAATTACATACTATCTAAGATGATGTGATAAGGGCTTAGGAACTGATAAAGTATAAAAAAAGTGTAATTATAGAGTTAGCAGCGCAGATAAGCAGATAAAAGAGTGAGGGATCTGAACAGCGGGACTAGTGATTCCTTGAATTTGGATTTCTACATCACCATACACAAAAATAAATTACAAATAAATACAAAAGCAAAAGGCAAAAATTTTAAGATTCATACAGGAAGATATATAGGAATATGCCATTATGAAATTAATGTTTATGACACCAGGGTAGGAAACAAAAAAGTGCTGTTTATAAAGGCAAAAATTGATAAACTTGTCTGCAACTAAAAGAAAAAAAATCCTTCTCTTTAGATGTCACTTGAAGAAAATTAAAAAGCAAAACACAGCTAAAAGAAAATACATATAACAAAAAAATCAATATCCAGAATATATAAAAATCTTCAGCAAGTAATCCCCTCCACACACAATCCAATAGAAAATGGACAAAAGAGATGAATAAATGTTTGGCAAAAGAAAAACATAGTGGCCAATAATTACTTGGGATATGGTTCAACTAGTGTTCAGACAAAAGTAAACTTCAAAATGCAAAGTTG